GAAGTCTCGTGGTCTCAGCGCGCATCGGAAATGGAGGCTGCCACTCTAACTGGTAATACTCCCGGCTCTGCCAGCTCATTTGATTCAACTGCTACAGTAAGCCTCATATCAATGAGACCATTTGCAAGTCGACTGTTAAACTACGTTGAAGCCACAATTTAATCAGAGGTGTCAATGTCTTCGAAGATGGGTTTGGAGGTGGCTCATATCCAGAAAATGACAACTGTACACAGATCCTACAGCCATTAAATGAAGCGAGCTCGGTAGAACGTAGCGCGAAGCTAAATATAAAAGCATGTAGTATCATCGTTTGTGCACTCCGATGTAATCGGTATCGAGGTGGCGGTATAAACATCGCGGAATACTATGGCCTTAGGCTACCAGCCAAACAAGCCAAGCTCGTTCCTTCAAGAAGAATCCACTTGTACTGTTGATGGATTCCACCTTGCTATAATTTGAATGTCAGAGCTGAATCTGAATTACTGTAGTCGCTGCCTTAAATCCAGCAAGAGCCATCTGACTTAGAAATGTAAAATCATGTCATTACTATGATTCCCACTGCAAGTATTATTGTGGATTGTTCGACCGCGTAAATAAACATACACTGGTAGCCTGGAACCGTGCATGTCTGGGGGCGGAAAATTTGAGATCATTTACGCACGGAATGTCTCAAATGAAATGGAAAAGACGATACGAAACGAAAATTAGCAGAAGTCTCGTTTCAACTACCAATGAAAGTAGCCAGGGCCTCATGCTGTGCAACGCCTGCAGGTAGGGAGAAATGAATCAAGATGGTCGCATCGAAGTTATCCATCATCAAATACCTCAGTAGAGGACAAAACAATTGCAATTCCTGGTTTCCTTGAGATTTTCGGAGAATTGGTTGGTTTACTTAATTGGCAACCTTTAGCTTATGACACAAAAACTTCGTCAAGCCAGGTATAGCAAGTCCTCCTTGTTATTTCTTTTTATAACTACGAAAGTGTCGTCTACGTAGCGTCACCAAAATTTCAGTGAGTTACAGGAGTGTACTAGGGCCTTCTCAAAGTTTTCCATGTACAAATGCACCAATACAGGGGGTAATGATGAGCCCATGGTCAGACCTTATTCATGGGTGTACAGCTTCAACTAGAAAACGAAATAGTGCATGCTAAGGCACAATGCCATGCCCTGCACGATTTGATCAGCTGTAAGTTTTGTTCTCTTATTCAGTGTGTTGTTTTTGTTTAGGCAGCGCCTTGTTAAATCTAGCGCCTCCTCTTTGGTTACATTAGTAAAAACCGAAGTGACATCAACGCTTACCATTAGTTTATCCGGCTCAATGGTGAGCCTTGCAATTTTTCGGGCAACGTCGTACGAGTTCTTCACGAACGTGCACGTTCGTCTTGTTAGAGGCTGTAATATTCCAGCCAAATACCTCGCGAGTTCGTGACTCGGAGAGCCTATACCATCAGCTATGGGTCACATGAGAACTTTGATAGCCCTTAAAGCCTAGAAGGCAGATTCGATTTCGGATTGAGACCACACCATCTATCTACCAATAGAACGCCTTTTACGACTCTTAAATAGTCGCTAGCTTCAATTTATTCTTATTCATAATTAATGTTAAGGTTTTATTCCCAACTCTGTCTCCAAATGCGGTGTTATTATACCAAATAATCCGACTTATTCATCTCCACCATGGCCTTTTCCTTATCAGCCTTCGTAATAAGGATAATACGATCTTCCTTGAAGGAATTCAGCGTGATACGTCCAGCCGGCGCAAGATTATGTTGCCCCGGTTTCTGAAATTTAATGATATTCACGGGTTGTGTGCATATTCTTCGTCCTCATCTCGAGTAATTTCGGTACCATGCTTTCAACGCTAGGCATTAACACTGCGTATATCTTAGGTTTGCTGATAGTAAAGCTCAAAGTTCCGTTTCATTCAAAACCCTAGCTGACAAGTTACTTCATATTGCCGAATAGAAGTCGAGAATTTTCGGACAATTCTTCATTTCTGTAGAGGGAAGTCGACTTATAAAAAGGCATATATACAATTTGAAAATAGTCACATATAAAGCCACACAGGAATTTACTGCACACCACTGTGCCTATCTATCATTAGCACCACCCGCTAATGACGGGCGGTATTATAGATTATGTGACGTCCCGTTAGCGCTATTTTTGTAGTGAATCGAAAGTGTTTGTACATTACGGTCACCAGAACTGCCCAAATGATGATGACGGCAAAATCGTGGATAAATACTTTCGTTTCTCTTGTTGCTGATTTTTCGAGGGCTCAGCTAATACAGGGACTTTGGAGAAATGTGACACTATAGTCATACTGTCGGCCTATTCATGGACAGGCTTATATTCGGTAACATACAGTAACTACATTACAGTGCTTATGACCAGATTCGGGCTTGTCACTGAGACCAACAGCCTTACAATGTGTAGAAAAGAAACAGCCGAAATTATGAATTCGCCTTTCCTTTGAATCCTGTCCTCGATTAGACTTAAGTTCCAAAGCTTTATTGTAAATTGGTTCATAGTCCGACTGCGTCATGTAGACTTTAAGATCCAGGCTCAGCCGATTTGCGTCGAAGCGGATCTCACATAGACGTCTGGTTATTAAATAAATCCGTTGTTTCAGAAATGTTTTGGATACATTGAACGCTGTCCGGAGGTTTCACAACAACAGATCAGGGTAGTATATTATTCCTCAGAAATCTCAGGTTGAAAACAACGATTTTCCCGGTTCGCCTCAAGCCCCACCAACCGAACGACTTCACTTGACAGATTTCGAACGCGAGGTCAGTATTTGTATTCGAACTCTTGGAATATACTTGGAAGCAAATAAAATTTTGTGTAAGAAGTGAAACCAAGGGATTGTTAACCAATTTCACTGGAACCATAACTTCTCGACTGGTTCGAAGTCGAGACTTGTCAACACTTGTTACAAATATCTAAGTTATAAACCGTATGTCAAGCATATTTTGAAGTAGAAACATCTGGATATCCTTAAAGAAATCAAGCGAAACCAGAACGTACAGTTGTCTAGACCGGATAAAGGAGTCGGGTTCGTTCTGAGGAATAAGTCAATCAGAAAGATGCGTGCCAGCCTTACTGATGAATCGAAATTTCGAAGAGTGGCTAACGAGAATGACAAGAGGCAAGCAACTGAAAGTACATAACAAAACTTTTGCGTTGCTTAAAACAAGAAAATATCGTCGACTTTGATGTATTCGAATAAACCAGGTCGAGTGGGACGGTGATTCCAAGACTTTACGGCCTGCCCCAGGTGCATAAGGAAAGGCTATCACTAAGACCAATACTAGATATGTGCAACTCGCCGTACCATTCGACCGCCAAGTGGCTGGTCAAACGGCTGGAACCAGTCCGAAAAGCCATAGCCAGGTACAGTCTCAAGGACACTTTTGAGTTTCTCGACTCAGTGAGACACCTTGAACTAACCGGGCGGAAAATGTTTTTATTAGACGTGGTGTCCGTTTTCACCAATGTTCCACTGGAAAAGACTGTAGACTATCTATGTCAGTTCATCCAGTTGCACAACATCAACGTCGGTATCCTACCAGATCGATTAAGACAACGATTGCTGACATGCACGAGAAACATCCAGTTTCAGTTTTACGGATCACTGTACCGACAAATAGATGCGGTGGCCATGGATTCGTCGTTAGCTCCGTTACTCGCCGAGGTGTTCATGAGTAAATTGTAGGGCAACCAGTTGAAAGAGTCCATGACCAGTTGGGTTTATTATGGTCGATATGTAAATGACATCTTTTGTGTTTCGGACGATGGGGTGTGTATTGAAGATCTGCTGGCCCACTTCAACTCTGCGCATAACAGCGTAACGTTTACACTTGAACTACAAAGTGACGACTTATTGGCTTTTATAGATGTCCAGATTAATAGGGCAGTAGACGGGACAATGCGGAGGAGAGTGAGAGAAAGGGAACTTGGAATGGGCAATACATCCACCTCCATAATTTCGTTCCAATCAGCCAGAAGCGTAATCTAGTCCGCTGTCTCACTGAGAGAGCAAGACGAACATGCACAGAAGATACGCTTTCTGAGGAGCTAAGTTTCATCCGAAGGGTGTTCGAACGCAATGGATACCCAGAAAAATTCATCCAGAAGCACATGGAACTGCAAGTACCGAAGACGAAATCTGTTTCTGCAGAGAAGCGCCTAACATACTTATCGTTACCGTTTAAGGGTGATGCGATAGCGCAGCGAATGACCCGAAGGCTTACCCCAGCCACTGCCAAAACGTACTTTGCGGCCGACTTACGTATAAGCTTCACCTCAACACCATGGTCATGCCTCCATGGGCGTGCCTCGCACAGTGAGAATAAAATATTTATTTAGTTATTTAATTGTGCGCTAGCAGCTCAAAGACAGGATACCCCGGTCGCAAATTACGTTTTGTGTATATCATTTCTTTTACTCGCGCCGAGAAAGGTACATTGGAAAAACGACCAGGCGACTGTCCTTAAGAGCTAGAGAGCATTCTCCCGCTTGGCTATACAGTGGTGTGAGAAAAAATGTGAAGAGCGCAGTATTGTCACATGTAGTGGATACTAACCACAAAATAAACTCAAAAGATTCATTCCAACCGATCTACTGTGTGCCAGCACGCCATACGAGAGCTGTCAGATGCCGTCTCCTTTCGACAACACAGGTAATCGTAATTCGACTCCATAACCCGGAGTCGTGCGCACAGAAGAATTTTGTGCAAACGGTCTGTCTACTCTGGCCCCAGACTAACACAAGTAAGCAGACTTATCACGCCATTTCCCCCGACTCCACACAGGCCAGGCTAATCACATAGCCTTCTTGATGAGGTATTTTAATTTATTGTCGCCTGTAATTCACGTGTTCATTTTTGACCTGCATAGCTGCGGTTGTACTAGCCTGATGATGATCCTCTGAAAGCAAGCTTTTTTGCTACGTTCTACTTCTAAGGTTCCAAGTATATTGAAAAAGTTCGAATTCTCATTCCTGTAACCATGGCAAATGAACGACCGGAGCACAATGGTGGCCAAATGAGCCTACCGAATTTTGCGCTGGTGCAAGACAAATTGCAATAAAGCGGCCAAAACGTCAAATAGACTGGTGAGAGAGAGAGAGAGAATGTTCCGTTATATAGCATGTGTACACGTGTGCACGGTATATAAATGTTTGGTATCACAAGCAGTAGGGAAAAATTTGATTAGCCGGTGATGCTACAAAAAAGTACGACTAATGTGACGAACTATGCAACCGGAGGCCACGATGCAAAGTAAACTGACGGCAATGTGGTGGCTGCTTCAAAGTACCCCACTCTATCAAAAACGGAAGTCATACGACGTTGAGCGCAATGGGAACGTGAAAGTAAGAAACGTGTAATGTCTAAAGTAGAAAGACAAAGGAAAAATAATGTAGGGATGGTGATAAGTTCGTCCGACAGTGGGTGTAACAGGATGAAAAACTAGGCAAACCACTGACTAATCGAGCAAATGCCTATGTAAGCGGTTGTCACAACGGGTACCACAATACACAATTGCAAGTGGTACTCGTTGCCCATCATCGGAGGTTGTGAAATGACAGATCGCTTTAGCTTGCAGTCAGAGGGGCAAACAAATGGGAGGCATAGCGCCATAAAAGAAGATGGCAGACTCAGGGATGATTGAAAGAGCGATGAATTGTAGCGTCACGTTCACTAGGTGAAGCAACTGGATCTCAGGCTTGTTTGAAGCAGGAGTGGGAGATATTGGTGGTGGTGGTGGTGGTGATGCAGAAAATGAAAGAATCCAGACGTATGGGACGATTGCACGTGCGTAGTGTGTGCGTATGCGTTAACACTTCCGTATTGCCATACAACATGAAGCAACTTGATATTCCTCGTCTAAATCAGTTGCGCATGCACCGGAAAGTGTTGAGAAGGCCTGCATCGATCTTGTATTACGTTCGAACAGGCCTCTGTCGAAGGGACCTACGGGAGAGGATGGAAAGTAAGGTATGATGACGGCCCTCATAGTTGGAAGCGAAAACTACCAAATAAAGACAAGTGTATCATGAATGAAATACACCTAGATCATGGATGAGGGAAGCAGAGTTTAAGGGTGGGGAAAACAAGGAAAGCTTTGGAGGGATTGCATCCGGTACAATCCACTCACATAATCCCGGCAGGTGTTGGAGTACAATTGTAAAGTGTTTAAGACGAGCAGACATTGCTCAACATATTTCAGAAGCGAAATACCCATCAAGATGCACATTTAAGCAACAAATAATGAATCCACTGATAAATGTGGAACGAACGTTGTTAAATCAGATTTGCATAAAAATAATGATATTGACACACTGTCTAAGGCAGGGCACCAGTCATGAGGGAGAGCACTTGCTGAACCGACCCCGAGGCCTCATTTATAAAGGTTACATTTCGATGGGAGATAAAAGGACATCTAACACATTACACTGGGAAATAATCGAAACGCAACAAATCTGGAGGTAAAATTGCGAAATCTGAACGAATGCTTTTAGCTAAGAGTATTTACATTTCGTCACCCGATGCGTCCCGGCCGTAAAGTGAACGAGTCGCCGTAACGAGAGCATCGTCGTCTAACTCCTTCTCCGCTTTTTTCTTCGCGCGCTGTTTGATCTCATACAGCAGAATGATGACAAATAAAACGGTGACTTCCAATCCGATGCCTAACAAAGGCCACACGATAGACCACCGATCTGCAAAAAAGCAAGAAATAACTTAATCGTTGGCATCACGAGCCATAAAGAAGACTAAGGAGCGACAGCAGTGAGGCTGTGCAGGGGCATTTTTAAGAGATGAAAAGCAACCAAACAGAGTTTCACCAATTTATGTCAATCAGGTGAACAAGCAAGATGTGGTGTGGCATGCAGCACATAGCAACAATGAGGCAGCTAAATGCTCATGAATTAATCTCTCCAGCAAGTGCGTAGCATCGTAAACATACTGGATTTCAACATTTTGCCCGTGCTGGTCTGGACAGAATGGCTAAGGAAGGTCCACTTGACAAGACCACAGTTAATAGCTGTAGGTGCAATAGCCAGTACCGTCTGCAGTTAAGGCGTTTTACGGTGTCAATGAACTCATCAACCGGCATAAACTAAGAGGCACTCTTTAACGCTATACTAACAGCAACTCTCACAAACGGATAGCGTGTAGGTAACAAGTGAGGCGAAGACTCAAGTGAGCCGCTTACAAGTGCCACAGCACCGCTTCGGAATCGACGTCATCGTACTGTGCGCTGCCCACATCTGAACTTTAGCAGCGTGGGATTCCGGTACTAACGGCCGCATTACATCAACTGTTGCCCGAAGTGGAAAACCAACATGGGACCAAATACATCACACTACCTGTCAGTTACAAATACTGAATACTGTGTTGCTCCATCGATATATTGTAGGGCACACAAGCGGAATAACCTCATTTATTGCGCGCACTATCAATGCAGTTTGGCTGCGTGAAGTCCTAATCAGGTGCGATGCACTCTCGAAATCAGCAATCCGCAAAGTGGGCGTCTACAGATTTCTCAAATTCCGACGTTGATTTCGCCTCGACCACTGTCTCGGGCAAACTGCTCCAGTATTTCACCACCAGATGTTCGAAGCATAGAAGGTGAGCTATCCGTTGCAGGTTCGGTACAACAAGTTTGTACGGTTGCCTGTGAATGCTGCTTGGTGCGCGCACGTGCAACAATGGCCTCAGCATAGCAAATCACCCAGATGTAATATCCGGTGCGTCATTAGGACGTCCACTTTGTCGCGGAACTCAGTCCTCAGGGGACAAGCGCTTATTCGCAAATTCAGTAAGGCGAAAGTTACAGCATACGTGGAAAGCCAAACTCCTCGACATAAACTGTCCGTTCACTTTCAAAATTAAAGACCCTTGTAAACCGATGAGGTCCATTCTTCGATTCAGTTAAACAAACTGTGAGTAACCCACACGTACGTCGGCCAATCCGTGTCCAGTGATCTGATCTGTTATATTAGTCATCCATTAGTTGCTTCGCTCGTTCGATCCATCCGCTCACACTGATACCATGCTCCCACGACCCCCTCCCCATTTTCGTGCTCTTGCGTTTCCATATTGCTAGGCACTCCATATACTTTTCCACTCCGCGCCGTTTTCGTTGTAGCTGCCGCATTGGTCTCCTTGCTCCACGCTGTAGAGCACTCCACTCCCAATGCATCTTGTCCTCTCAAATGAATACGATTTCTGAGCGTCTTCCCCCAACATCTATTTTGTATAAACTTGTACCGATCTCTACAGTCACAATACCTTTTTGCCACCGCTCTTGACCATCGAGCACCGGTTGAACCCATATTTCTTCTCCCACTGTCAGCTCAGGTAGAACACGTGCATCTCGGTCGTAGGACCGCATGTGGCGGGTCATTCGTCTTCTCAGACTGTTCTGTAGTCTCGCATGTTGTGGCGAAACTTGGCGTAGTGTGTCAGATCTTGGCATCAGAGTTCTGGTCTTTCGGCTGTATAGGCGCTGCACGGGACTCAAGCCGACATCCGCTTAAGGAGTGTTGCGATTCTCCAGTAGCTCTAGCCTTTGACAACAGATTCTTGGGCTGATTGGAGGGTCCTTTTGAAGTACTAGTTGTGTGAATGGAATGCGACGCGCAATCTCATTGTAGACCGCGATTCACAATGAAGTGAACTTTGGTCAATGCGATCACTGGGACCGTGATCGAAGCAGATGGAAATTGTGTTGCTCACCCGAAAACGCTACACACCATGACACATTCCGACCGCATTAGATCTCATCAGGTGGAGATAGCAGGCCTCGGACCAGTGACCATTGGAATATTAGCCGAAACCACTATCCCTTTAGCTATCTCTACCTGAGGAGAACAGAGGAGGTCGAAACGTGTCGTAGTGTGTAGTGCTTTCGGGCGGGCAATACCAAATGTTAGCTGCTCGGTTGCTTCATTGTCGACGCAGCTTTCCATTCGATTTCGCTGTGATATGGGTTGGTTGCTGGTTCACCAATTCCAACTTGATTGCGAAGGTCTGGAACGCAGCAATGGTAAACTGGGGACCCCCGTCGGAGACCAGCTCCTCGGGTATTCCGTGCCGCACGAATCCTATTGCCTTAACTTTTAGTGGATTGACCGTGATTCATTTGGTTGTTGGCACATGACCATGGAAAATCACCTCTTTCGGAAGCTACATTTTCTTATGTTTACGATTGATATCCTTTGTACACAAAGCTGCAAGAAACGGTGGAGATTAGTGTCATGCTGTTCTTCTGTCGAACCATAGATCAAAACATCGTCTGCCACGCAAGTTACACCATCTAAATCGTCTGCTGCATGTACTAACCGCTCTTGAAAATTTTTCTATAAACATTCGAACCAAATGGTAAACGAAGCCGACGATAACACCCGAACGACGCGGCAAATTTAGTAATAAAAATGTATTCTCCCTCTAGCACAACCTGCCAGAATGCGGAAGACAGGTCTACGTTCGTGAAATACGTTTCTTTGGTCAAAAGCGACAAAATGTCTGCTAGGGCCGGTAGTGTATAACGCACTCTACGCAGAGATTCATTCAGTGGTTTAGGGTCAACTCACGCGTGTAGTTCGCCCATCTTCTTCGTAATTATTGCAACCTAACTAACATAACTGATCCGCTCGTCAATCTTGAGAATCACACCCTCGCTCACCAATTTGCTCAATTTAGTGGAGAACCTGTCACGCAGCGCAACCGGAACTCATCTAGCCGGCAGCACAGTCAGTAGTAGCAAGGTAGCTAACGATAAATGAATGATTCCCTCAAATTTTCCCAGACCCTGGCTAAAAACAGACGGACACTGGCGACTAAAATCGGTTTCCCACTGCCGAACATGTAGGACACGATCATGATTAAGAATAACAAAACCAAGAGACCGAATTTAATCAATGTCCAGAAACAGCGTGAACTCCTCTTCCACAACTATAAACTCCAACTGATGTGTAGCTCCGACCCCTGGGTTCAGCAATTCGATTGTAGCTGAGCCTTTCGGATGAAGTCTGGAGACATGCTATATGCGCAAGAAATCTTGGTCGGAGCTGATGCACACACCATGACAGTGATCTTTGGGCACAATTTTGACGGTAGCACCTGTGCGTAATTGGATTGGTCCGGCTTGTCTTCGATCAAAAGACTTGAGTACACAATTCGTGATCTCTTCCGAGACACGTTGCCAACTGAATGTTCTGCATCTGCGGGTGACGGCACAAATGCGCGCACTCACAATGGCCCACTGAGAGCAACGAGCAAAAATGGTTCTTTCTTTCACATTTTGCACAATTGCATCCACACGGCGGACACCGTTCGCGGCTGCTCGGGTGTCGCGCAGCGCAAAATTCGTAGATCTCCTGTCTCACGTTTGTGACCTCATGGTTTTGTCTCAGGAAACAGTAAACAGTTCGGCGACAGTTGCAAGTTTCATTTGTTGGTATTGATACGTACTTGAGAACTCATTGTTGCAGAGATCGATGAACTGCTGGAGCACTAAGTTGCGGTGTCGAAAACAGTCGGCTGGTCGTGCATTCCTCATTGATTTCTAGAACTATCTGGTCCCGTATGAGACGGTTGCCCAGGCATTTACAGAAATTGCAGTATCGGGCCAAAACATCAACTCAGTGACGTATGCATCGACGGATTTATGTGGGCGTCTACTTCGCTCAAAGAAAAGGCGGCGCTGGTAAGACCGATTGCCTTGGTCTCCACCGAATTCACTTAACTTCTAAATGACTTCCCAAATCGTTAGTATCTTTGTCTTCATCGTAACGCAATGTCTCTAACACATGGAGTGCGTCGTCCCCGGCTGCGTGCCGAAACATGGCCAAACGAGACGCCATCGGTTGATCGTCCAAACATACCAGTGTGCAGAAATCCATCCACTTGCTCATCCATAGACGCTAAGTACCTGCCAAGTTCCGTTCACCCATTTTCAATGGGACAGGCATTCGAACAGTTGGTGGTGATACAATCAGCATTCGAGTGAGTCTTGGTATTCTTTGACGCCATGTCACAGAAGTCAGTCCTCCGGGGACAAGCATCTACACAGCAGTCAACCCAGAGAAAAGTACAACATGCTTGGCAGGTCAAACTACTCAATATAAATTGTCTGTTCACTTTCATAACTAGCGACTCTTGGGAACCGATGAGCATCCTCCTTTGTTTCTGTTAAAATATCAGTGAGGAACCCAAACGAAAGTCAGCCAATCCGCGTCTGGTGATCGAATCTGTTATTTCCGTCTCCCATTGGTCATCTCGCTAGCTCATTTGATCCATCCACTCATTCTGATAAGATACTCCTGTCACACATACACGGAACGGACGAAACGATAGTGTATAGCATTTTAGTCTTTTGCATCGGTCTGCGTACGACATACCCAGTAAACTGGGGATGAGACTGGCAGCCACAAGCTGAACACGTTTCGGTTTTCGCACCTAGCAACGGGTGAGCGAACAATAGGTAGGTGAGCCATATTCCAGCATTGGTTTTATAACGAAAGAGAAGAGGATAGTGTCAACCTCTTCAGACCAAGTGCAGAAGCTGCGTTTGGGCGCATAAAGCATGCGTAGTCAGCCCCCATACATCTTGTTCATATGGTCCAAGGACTAGTAATCGCAAGTTAGACCCATCACAGGTGTGGGATGTAGCGGCTGACCGGCAAGAGTGTACGTACACCAATCACCGCCC